GAGAGCGAAGTCAAGTGGGCCTTAGAAAGCATGGCTGACAACAAGGCCAGTGGAGGTGATGGTATTCCAGTCGAACTATTTAAAATCTTAAAAGATGATGCTGTTAAGGTGCTACACTCAATATGCCAGCAAGTTTGGAAAACTCAGCAGTGGCGAGAGGATTGGAAAAGATCAGTCTACATTCCAATCCCAAAGAAGGGCAGTGCCAAAGAATGCTCCAACTACCGTACAATTGCACTCATTTCACACGCTAGCAAGGTTATGCTCAAAATCCTACAAGGTAGGCTTCAGCAGTATGTGGACTGAGAACTCCCAGAAGTACAAGCTGGATTTCAAAGGGGCAGAGGAACTAAAGACTAAATTGCTAACATGCGCTAGACTATGGAGAAAGCCAGAGAGTTCCAGAAAAACATCTTCAGCTTCATTGACTACGCAAAAGCCTTTGACTGTGTCAACCACAACAAACTATGGAAAGTCCTTAAAGAAAAGCTCACTGGAAGGACAGATCCTGAAGCCGAGGCTCCAATGCTTTGGCCATCTCATGTGAAGAGAAGAGTCCCCGGAAAAGACCCTGAATTTGGGAAATGTGAGGGCAAGAGGAGAAGGGGACGACAGAGGACGAGATGGTTGGACAGTGTCATTGAAGCGACCAGAATGAATTTGACCCAACTCTGGGAGGCAGTGGAAGACAAGAGGGTCTGGCATGCTCTGGTCCATGGGGTCACAAAGAGTCGGACATGACTTAACGACTAAACAACAACAAGAAGTGCTGATCAAGAAATTGCCCACAGCCACGGTTTCGACTGGCACTTCAAACAAAGGCAACAGAAAAAAAATCTTTAAATTTAATCTAAATGATTCATTGCATTGATGATGGTCTAGCACAGCTGTTCTCAATGGGGGTCTATATGGAGCCCTGGAAAAATCTGGCACATCTGAAGGGGGATACAGATTGCAAACAATTCTTCACACACCACATTATATGTTATGTGACTTATACAACCATGATTCAACATATATTTCTTTCGCATTGTATTTATGGCTGTGGAAAAATACATGAGAATGTCTGATAGCAGATGCAAATATATGTATACAATTTCACTTCTCCTGTCTCTCTGCAGTGGAGCAGGGGTATTGTCCCATTTGGTGACGTCATCCCCTTCCTTCAGAGTAACTGTGGAGTTGTGATCTGTGCTTGTATGTAGCAAAGTTCATCTGTTGGCCGCCTAGAGTGGTCCTCACCGACCAGATGGGCGGGGTATAAATTAAATAAATAAATAAAATAAATAAATCCTTCACAAACAAGTTACATCATTGCAGTTGTTGTGGGTTTCTCAGGCTCTTTGGCTGTGTTCTGAATGTTGTTCTTCCTTCGCCAGTCTCTGTGGCCGGCATCTTCAGAGGAATGGAGTAGGAACTCTGTCCATGCTCTGTTGGATAGTTGAGTATTTATAGCTGTGGGAACAGCTTTTGTCTTTTTTCAGGAGATTTCGTGTCAACCTTCAAACCACGGCCAAAGAGCCCGAAAAACCCACAACAACCATTGGATCCCGGCCGTGAAAGCCTTCACGAATACAAGTTACATACAAGTCTACTGAATACTGTACAAGTCTACTGAAAATAGGTTAGGCTCACTGGGAAGAAAAGCTGAAGGAAATACCTTCATGGCATTCTTTAAATGACATCAAGGATTTTGAGCTGTAATAGCTAAGCAGAACGTCCATGTTCCACGGCCATGTACCTCTACCTATTGAGCAGCTGGAAGACTTTTTTTTTTTTGGACATACAAGTCTACTGAATACTGTACAAGTCTACTGAAAATAGGTTAGGCTCACTGGGAAGAAAAGCTGAAGGAAATACCTTCATGGCATTCTTTAAATGACATCAAGGATTTTGAGCTGTAATAGCTAAGCAGAACGTCCATGTTCCACGGCCATGTACCTCTACCTATTGAGCAGCTGGAAGACTTTTTTTTTTTTGGACAAGATGTTATTTTTTTTTACAACAAGTTTCAAAATCCTCCACCAACATGGCCAGTGGACAAGTTGGTGGCAGATTCTGGGAACTGTCGTCCAAAATAAATAAATAAATAAAATGTTAAAAGCTGAAAGCAATCCTGGAGACTACAAAGTAGAGAGTGCATGTTGGATGATTATATGGTCAATCTTGATGGAAGAGAAGTGCATCTGCCCTTCTGCTTTTTTAAAAAAAACCTCAAAATCATGTAAAATTGAAGCTGCTTTTCTGCCCACAGGATATGCATGCACATAACTGACCTTCACCCATAGTTTCAGCCTGAGGTCAATTAAGAACATAACAAAAACTGTGCTGGATGAGACCCCAGGCCTCGCTAGTCTAGCAATATGTTTGTAAACTGGTCAACCAGATGACTATGGGATGCCTGCCTGAAAGGGAATAAGAGCATCTGCATTCACCTGCTTGACTTTCACAGCCAATGGTACGAAGACACATGTTGCTTCTGATACTGGAAGTAATACACAGTCAGCAAGTAGACGGTAAGGTAACGGTTCCCCTTGGGAGAAAGGTGGGGTAAAAATACCTTAAACCATCAAACTGTATGTATGACTGCAGGATAGAGCAGCTACATCCAATACCTGAGAACAAAACAAGCTCTCACAAGCACTTACTTGACTGTCCTGTTTTCTCCTCCTAATCACATTTTATCAATCACTGTCAACTGCTGAGTTGTGCTAGGACAGTCTGAATTGTCCTTATTCATTAGTGTCCAGTTTTGGCTCAAAGAGGGACGGCAGGGAGTTTTTCCCCATTGTCCTACCTATTCCACAAGAAGGCTGCAGCTTGCCATGGTATTTAGCTGGACGAGACAACATGCAGTCGGGCTTCTGGAAGTCATTTCTCTGGGTGCTCTGTTTGCTGTAGGGTGGCTTTGGACGCTGCACAAAAGGTTCGCCGCTTGGCCACCAATGATCCTTCGCAGACGAGGGGAAGGAAAGGGATTTATGAACATTCAGGTTACAGAGACAGTAATGATGCTGATGAACATGCCTTTACTGCCACTAGAAGACTTACATTACAATATTGGAAAGATCTATGCCTGCCTCCTTGATTAATTTGAATAAATTCTGTTAGTATATGAATGTGTAGTATATAAATGACAACTTTGTATGGAAAAGCTTTTGGTTTATTTTGACATTTGGAAGTATTTTATAGAAGCTTATATACAGATTTTGTTATTACTGTTATACCTTTTCTTTGTATAAAAAAAATTGATTCTGCCATGTAAATATCTAACGTTATAACAGATCAGTTATGGAGTCCTGGTGCAGATGCAATGTTAAATCTATCTAACATTAAATCTAATGTTAATCGATCCAGCCCACCTCTCTCTCTCTCTCTCTCTTTTAACCACTGCACCATGAGTCTCCCTTCAAGGTCCAAGGGAGTTTGAAAACGGCCCTCCAAATAAGTAGCCCATCACTGCATTATATGAACAGAACGATTTGGAAAAAAAACCTCTGACTAATATGCTGCTCTTCCCCCTCCAGTCTGCCCCAGAAGTGGAGCTTGATTCAATTTCTTCATTTAACCTAACCACTAACTGTCAATACACCCAAACTGTGATCCAGCAATCAAACAAACCAGAATCACAAAACTCCAGTTTTGTTTTGACTTGTTTCAATAAACCACAGTTTGAACCAGAAGTGGAAGAATAGATTGGGAGAGGAAGGAGTGAATTCCCCTAGTCCAGGGTTGGCCTTGGACCCGAGGTATGCAGGTTCCCTCTTTAATCTGAACAAACCACAATTTCAACTCTTTGGGAAGTAATGGCAAACCTGGGTTAGTTCAAACCTAGAGGTAGCTGCTTCCGATCCTTGCAATCCTGCTAGAACAGGACAGGAGAGGAGATGAGCATAAATCTTTGCAAGTTGTAGGTGTGCGTCGACCTAAACCTAGAAGTTGGGAATGTTATTTTATTGGACTATGACTCCCAGAAACCACCACCACCAGGCAGCATGGAGGAAAGTGTTGCTCACCTGCTTTGTTTTTGTATCTTCTGTGTCCATATACAGTATTGGCTCATTAAAATATTTGGTGTTTGTCTTTATGCATTTTGCATGGATCGGGTGGGGGTTATTGCGCCACTCTAGTGTATATCGTTGCTGTTTGTTCTTTGGAATATATACATCTTCGATCTTCCCTAGTATTTTGTTCCTTTCTGGAAACTCAATATTAAATACTCTGAAGGTATCTGGGCTGAAAAATATAAACAAGCAGAAGGACTATTAATATCCTTAAATTAACATATGAAAGAAAAAAATGACTGCCAGAGCCCTTTTTAAAATACCTATTATTTTAAATTTCATTTCATAAAAAAATAACTAGCAAAAGCTTTAAAGTATGCACATGTCTCAATCCAGTTAGAGTTACAGGTAATTTTAAAAATAATTATCTTAATAATGTATAACATCCAATCAGAAACGCATTAATAGTTCAGCAAACTGGGATTAATCTATCAGAGGAGAAATAAAATTAAAGTACATAGAAAATATAATAGCAAAGGAAGAGGATCTCTTGGATGTTCGGGATAATATCTCCCATTGTTCCATGCCATTTTACAGTGCTCTCTGAGGAGCATGGGAGTTCTAATTTCAGCCATTAAGCAACGTTGGCTTGAGAAGCCAGAACCACTATAGGAAGGGCACACCACAATGTAGCTTCTAAGTCAAAGCTCACAGGCCTTACTGGAGACAAAGGCAGAGCAATGCAGTGGACAGGTCAGGAGGGGGAAATATTTCCTTCTTTTGGACTGCAATGTCCAGGATCTTTCAACCAGAAACTATGCAAGAGGAAAGACTTTAGGACTTGGAACACAAAACAGGGACTTTTCCATGTATCAAATGCTAGACATGGACAAGATCTAGATTCCAGTATCTGTTGAAGAATGACGTTTGGTGAGCAACGTTTGAAATAATCCCCCTCTCACCTTTACCCTCTTTATAGCATCATGATGAGGACAACAATTTAAAAAGTCCCTTCCCTCTCTTCCCTCATACCACCCTGATGGAGGACAGAATTTGAAACAAATATCAAAGATGCACAGTAGACTTCAGATACTTTAAGCTTGCAGTAAGAAGATGGGAGTGGAAGAAGCTGCAGCTAAAGTATTGTCTTTCTCTTAACGCTGAGGAAGAGGTGATGCCTCTAAAGCTGGAACCAAGAATTCTAAAGTATTGTCTTTCTCATAACGCTGAGGAGGAGGTGATGCCTCTAAAGCTGGAACCAAGATTTCCCATGCTAACGTGTTGGTTCATAGCTGAGGATGCACATGCCAAGACAATACCATCACGCAGGACTCCCATAAAGAGTCAGAAGCGATGTGTCTTCCTAGCAGACCTTCAATCTATATTTGGCACATTAGCTTGCTTTTGTTTTGTAATTGGTCATTGGGAGATAACCACGGGTTTCATTTGCATGTCTCCAACATGTTACTATGAAGGATTTACATTTCTGGAGGCAAGACCTGTTGAGAACAGGGCACATGCCTCTCTCTTAATGTCTGACCCGACCCAGACACTCTTAGCTGCTCAGCCAGACTGCCCCCACACTGGTATGTGGGATCCAGCGGCTTTTAACCAGCTGGCTGTCAGGAATACCTTCACCTCATTCTTAATTAATTAACAGCTGTTCGCGATGCTCTCTTTCTCAGATTCATGGGCAGGTTTGTCACTATTCAAGATGCCTCGGTGTCATGTTTAGCATTCCTTGAGCCTTCTTCCTGCTCCTTGTCCTTTCTTCTGTCAGCTGCAGCCTCTTCCACTCCCATCTTCTTAATGTCTTGCCGGGAACACATTCCAAGCACACAACAATCCCACGTCTATTCTTAGACATCGGTCTTTATCAGCCACCTCTCTGACACAGAGGGTCAATCCGACGTCTCAGGCACCATAGCAGATATAAATTGTCTGGCACTCTCTAGAGGTGCGTGTGTGTGTTTAGTCGTGTCCGACTCTTCGTGACCCCATGGACCAGAGCACGCCAGGCCCTCCTATCTTCCACTGCCTCCCGGAGTTGTGTCAAATTCATGTTGGTTGCTTCGCAAACACTGTCCAGCCATCTCATCCTCGGTCGTCCCCTTCTCCTCTTGCCGTCCCACCTTCCTAACATCAAGGTTTTTTCCAAGGACTCTTTTCTTCTCATGAGATGGCCAAAGTACTGGAGCCTCAGCTTCAGGATCTGTCCTTCCAGTGAGCACTCAGGGTTGATTTCGTTTAGAACTGATAGGTTTGTTCTTGCAATCCAGGGGATTCTCAAGAGCCTCCTCCAGCACCAGGTGGAGGTGCAGGTACCCCTTAATCAAGATTCCTCTTAACCTAGCCACCTCACTGCATACTGCTAAATGCTCAGCGCCTCCTAAAAGCTCCTTTCCATTTAAGAATCCAGATAGTGTTTCCCTTTCTTGGTGGCCCTGGGTATTTATACGGTCTTGGTCAGCCTTTCCCAATCTGGTGCCTTCCAGATATAATGACTACAACTCCCATCACTCAGTCACCGTGGACTCCCATTTTCAGGAGCCTCACACCAGCATGGGCAGTATTTGATGAATGAGCTGGTGTGCAGGCTTGAACCATTTAGTTTACCCCAGGAAAATGCAGGGTTATTTCCTGATGAGTGTAACAAACAGCTGGTTTTCTTCCCATCTTTGAACCTGATAAGCCAAGATCATCCCACTCATTGGGCACCAAACGCCACCATTTCATGGTTGTTGCGGGTTTTTCTGGCTCTTTGCCGTGTTCTGAAGTTTGTTCTTCCTAATGTTTCACCAGTCTCTGTGGCCGGCATCTTCAGAGGACAGCACTCTTTGTGTTTTTGTCTGGACTACAACTCCCAGAATTCCACTGGCCACGGTCCTGGGTGTTGTAGTTCCCCACTGGCTCAGGCAAGGGAGTTCTGGTCCCCAAACACAAAGCTGCACATCACCCAGTGATAGATATATATATGCGAGAGGAGGTCGCAGGAGCACTTACACCTGTCGCGGAGGGGCCCTTCTCCGCCGGCCCATGTCCACAATATTCGGGAACATGGCGTCGCGACCCCGGGGAGAGGGAGAGAGAGACGCGGGCCTTGATCGGCGCGACGGGGCCCGGGAGGGCGCGCGCGCGTTGGAACGCCGCCCCGAGTCCCCGCGATGTTTTCAGGGCCTGCCCGTGCTTTGATGCTGCATGGTTGCTAGGCGACCGCGGCCCATTGGAAGGCGGGGACAGAACGCCCAGGGAGGTTGGACTTGGACGAGGGTGGCTGGCTCTTAGGAAAGGCCCTGCGTTGCCAGGATACCTGGCTGTATCTACCTGCAGCCAGGTATCTGTGGTACCCGGCCTTATCTTCCTGCAGCCGGGTATCCGTGGAACGCACGCCCTTTCCTGAAAGCCAGTCACCCTCGTTGCAGGCTTAAAAGGGAGCGCCGTTCAAAGGCCAACTTTCACAGCAATATCTGAATCTTTTGACACCCAGAAGTGAACCCAGTTCATTCAGTGGGGTTTGTTGCTGGATAAATCATATTGAATAACAGAATAATGGAGTCGGGAGGAACCTATAAGGCCATAAATCCACCCCTCTGCTCAATGCAGGAGTCCAAATCAAAGCAGATCTGACAGTCGGGGATCCCATTTGCTGTTGAATACCCCCAGGGTTGGAGCCCTCATCACTTCGGAGCTAAACGGTTCCATTGTCATACACCTCTAACGTTGCTCTTCTTCCTGGTATTGAAGATGAACTGCTGGGTAGCTCAGTGGTTGAAGTCTCTGGCAGAGGTGGGGAGTTTGATTCTCCACTGAGCCTTCCCATTGAGCCTCCTTGGCAGGGGCAGGACCTGATGATCTATGGAGTCCCTTCTAGCGGTGCAGCTTGAAGATTATAGATTATCCAATTTATAGACTATCCAACAAACAGCAACAGAGCACGGACAGAGTTCCTACTCCTGTCCTCTGAAGATGTTGGCTACAGAGACTGGTGAAATGTCAGGAAGAACAACCTTCAGAACACAACCAAAGAGCCCGAAAAATCCACAACAACCATCAGATCCCGGCTGTGAAAGCCTTCGAGAATACATTATAGATTATCTCTTGTGGAAGTGATTACATGCTTATCCCTCTCTTTGAAAAGGGAGCTAGAAAACATGATGGTTTTCATTATAATTCTCTTTTTTCATTATAATTCTCTTTTTCCTTCATCCAGGCTTCAATTATTTTATGCCCGTTTCGCCAGATGTGTAGGATGGGTTGTTAATGATGGGATAAGACCTTTTGTGGGTTATTAATTAATTGGGTCGCCACAAATTGGAAGCAAGTTGATGGCACATAGCATTAGATAGAGAGTCTATATGGGAAGGAGTTGCCTTACCTGCATATGTTTATTTTGTTCCAGAACAACATAGAATTTTGTGGAACTTGAAAGGCAGACAAATTTATAATAGCATTATTATTATTATAGCATGAGCTTTTAAGTACCCAGTTGGCCACTGTGTGATTTTTACTACTAAGTGAGGAAACTTTGGTTTTAAAATGTGGACTATAAATTTCACAGTTCATTACCTTTGATCATGCTTGGGTGGCCTTCTAGAAGCTGTCGTCCATATATATAGATCTTGGGAGAAGATCTATAAAAGCAGAATGTTACGGCATTTTAAAAAATAATCAGAAATATTTTAAAATTAGAATTCTCAATACTTTTTATTTATGATAGAACAGCCAATAGTAGAATGTTTAGGACATCTGGAGAGTAAGAACCTTATATCATGTTGGATTATTCATTCCCAAGGCTCCACAGGGAGCCTGAGAGTCACACTGGGGAATCAGATTCCCACCCCCTGCTCTGCAGTCAGGTCCCGCCAACCAGTCAATAGATGTAAAGCTGTCCTTAAAGATATGGAACAAAACTCTGATTTAGTTCCAACCAGGTTAGACCTTTGTGTCATCACAAGGGTCCACCCCTGTGATATGACAAGGTTCTTGGTATCATGGCTCAGCTGGCAACTCTACGTAGGACCTTCTGTGTAGCAGGTTGGACTTCCTTGTGTGTCTTTACTGTAAGTCACATGGTGCATTTTTAAGTGGACGGTTGGTTCAAAACTATGTCAAATAAATATCTACGTATTCCCAGTGCCGTAGGAGTTAAGATGGCACTATTAGTGGTATAATATGAGGCAGACAGATCTGAACCATCTTCCTGTACAAATCCTGTTGAACTTTCAGATGGAATGTGTGCCATATTTTTTCTGTTTAGTTGTTTAGTCATGTCCGACTCTTCGTGACCCCAAGGACCAGAGCACACCAGGCCCTCCTGTCTTCCACTGCGTCCCGGAGTTGGGTTAAATTCATGTTGGTCCCTTTGATGACACTGTCCAACCATCTCATCCTCTGTCATCCCCTTCTCCTCTTGCCTTCACACTTTCCCAACATCAGGGTCTTTTTCAGGGAGTCTTCTCTTCTCATGAGATGGCCAAAGTATTGGAGCCTCAGCTTCAGGATCTGTCCTTCCAGGGAGCACTCAGGCTAGATTTCCTTTAGAATGGATAGGTTTGTTCTCCTTGCAGTCCAGAGGACTCTCAAGAGCCTCCTCCAACACCACAATTCAAAAGCATCAATTCTTCGGCGGTCTGCTTTCTTTATGGTCCAGCTCTCCCTTCCATACATCACTACAGGGAAAACCATAGCTTTGAGTATTTGGACTTTTGTTGGCAAGGTGATGTCTCTGCTTTTTAAGTTGCTATCGAGGTTTGTCATCGCTTTCCTCCCAATAAGCAGGCGTCTTTTAATTTTGTGGCTGCTGTCTCCATCTGCAGTGATCATGGAGCCCAAGAAAGTGAAATCTGTCATTGCCTCCATATCTTCCCCTTCTATTTGCCAGGAGGTGATGGGACCGGTGGCCATGATCATAGGGTATTTTTGATTTTGAGCTTCAAACCATTTTTTGCACTCTCCTCTTTCACCCTCATTACAAGGTTCCTTAATTCCTCCTCACTTTCTGCCATCAGAGTGGTATCATCTGCACATCGGAGGTTATTGTTATTTCTTCTTTCAATCTTAATTCCGGCTTGGGATTCCTCCAGTCCGGCCTTTCGCATGATGTATTCTGCATATAGGTTAAATAAGTAGGGGGACATAGCAGGAAATATTTCCGGACAGTTTGGTTTGCCTCAGGCAACTCAGTCTGTTGGACTGGCCTTGCCTGCTTCTTCCCTTAAATTTGCATAATTGAGCTGACTGACTAAAAAATTGATGACTCACTCTGTTTTATTTCTGTTGTTCAAATCACAATTTCTTGTTTAATGCTGACAGAAGGCAGCAGGGGAAAATGATGAAAAATGCTTAATTTGCCCACCGAAATGTCATCATGAAAGCTATGTGACACAGCGCTCATCTATAAACATTTGCTTCATGAACTAAGGTTGCCTGCTCACCCGTTCATTTGCCCTTTAAACACTCATACTTTACAATCATTAATTGTTGACAGATTGCCTCCATTTTCCATAATTACAGCTGTGGCATACAGGGTGACATCCAGTTGTGTGGGTGCTCATACCCATTTCTTCCCTTTAAAAGGATTTTTAGTGCAGGTTTTTGCAAAACTTGTAAAATTGAACTGCCTGCAAGTTGGCAGTTGGGAATTTTCCTTACAATGAACCATTTGGCAGATGTCTCTCTGGATTAGAGCTTTAATAATTTATTTTTGATTTTAAACAAGTTTTAAAAGCAGTTTTAAAAAAATAACTTTTCTAAGTTCTAATCAGCATTCATCTTTGTCCCGGGCAGCGTCGATTTATTTCAGAGCTACCACTTATTTTATTTTAGAGCTCCTTGTCAGCTGAAAGACTAATCAAGGAATAGGGATGTAGCCCGTGCTGGATGGGGTTACACTCCCTCTGAAAACAAAAATGTGCAGTGTGGGGTTCCTCCTGGATTTGCCTCTGAGCCTAGATGCCCAGGTTTTGGCAGTGGCCAGGGGTGCATTTACCCAAAACTAGTGCACCAGCTGCAACTGTTTCTTGACAGGTCTGATCTGGCTACGGTGACACATACTTCAGTTACATCCCAGTTGGATTACCTCAAAGATCATGTCTCCCATGTTGAAACTGCTCAGGTTTTAAGATAAATAGGGGAGGCCTTTTTCTCAGTCCCACCACCTTCACAGTTGCATTTGATGGGGACACAGGAGAGGGCCTTCTCTGTCACTGTTCCCAGTCTTTGGAACTCCATCCCACTGGAGGCCAGACTGACCCCATCTTTGTTGTCCTTCCTCAAGCAGATGAAGACCTTTCTATTCAGACAAGCTTTCCTCGGTGACTGACTGCTTTGACTAGGTTTTTAGTGTTGCTTATGTTTCCCATTTCTCAGAGGGATACTTGTTTGTTCCCATTTAATATTTCTCAACTTAGTGTTTTTAGCTTTAAATATGACCTTTTAATGATGTACATCAACTTTATATATTCATTGTTTGTGCTTAAATGTTATTTTTCAGTGATGTAAGCCACCTTGGGTCCCTTTCTAAGGAGAAAGGCGGGGTAACAATATTGCAAATAAATAATTAAATATTTCAATGGTTGTTGTAGGTTTTTCGGGCTGTTTGGCCGTATTCTGGAGGTTTTTCTTCCTAATGTTTCGCCAGTCTCTGTGGCCGGCATCTTCCTAACTCCTGTTCTCTGAAGATACCGGCCACAGAGACTGGCGAAACGTTAGGAAGAAAAATCTCCAGAACACAGCCAAACACCCTGGAGAACCTACAACAGCCATTGGATCCCAGCCATGAAAGCCTTCAAGAATACAAATAAATATCTCCTTTATTTTCAGGTTAATATTCCATGTTGTTTCACTTGAAAGAATTTATAAAAATATCAGTTGTGCATGGAACCAGTTCTTTTACTAGCCATGACAACTAAATGGAAGCCAAAGTGAGAGAGTAAAGAAGGAGACTAAGAGAGGAAAAGGAGAGAGTTGAGAGGGAAAGGAAGGAAAGATTGGAATGGAGGATGAGGAGGAAGAGTTACAGGGGGAACCCTGGGAGAATCGAGACCCAGAGAAACGAACCCTGTGGATTGATGCCTGGGATGACGAGACCGTGTCCCTGTTGGAGGGTTCAACAGGGCGGACCTAAGAGACTGGGTTCCTTCAGATTTGCTGGGACCATGGAACGCTAGTCGTGGGAATCCATTTGTGTTCGAAGACTGGAAACCACTTCGGGACCCATTAGCGGAAGGAGACAAACTTCAAGATCATGTTACAACACTCGTTTAATGAT